TGTTGGGGGCAATATGCTGACTCTGTAAACCGCTTAGAGAGGGCTGAAAGCCCTATGAAGCGGTATATAAGTCTAACTGCTATTGCTATTGCAAGAAACTGGGGCAAAACTCACTTGGCACACATCTCACATAACAGCAGAAATGTTGCGCTCAATTGTGGTCGTAAGTCGAGGACTACCTGTGCTCTTAAACATAGGGATTGAATTAAGGAAGATGTGCTTCAGAACAGACAGCAGTACAATTTAGCTTAAAGGTGTTTTTCTGGGGATGCTGCGGGTACCATTTGTACCCAAGAAAAGATGCAGTTGCACAAGTGAGGCCCCAACGGGTGAAACAAGGATGTCCTTCTCTCCTGCAAAGCATCTTTTTGGAGTCACCCTGTGGCCAGGTGGCCTGCAAACAAATTTAATTAAAAAAATGTATACAGCATTGATGATTCAAACCCCATGGAGGTTTGTGCAAAGAGAATATCTATGTATGTCTGTGTATGCACACATAACACACACCCAACACAGATCAAGAGGCATTTACATAAACCGCCTAAATTATTGCTGGTTTATTTCTTCTTCATATCAACTGAAACTCCATTAACCTCATTGAGAAGAAAATTGGTTTGAAAGCCAAAGTAATCAGGAGAGAAAGAAACCTGCTGAATTTCATTTGGTGATTAGCCCATGGCTTTGTCCCATCTTAGTTATGCAGGGAAGCTGTAAAACACAACTCAACTCCCGCCTTTCCTCCCCACCATTTTCCTGTTTCTCTGTCCGAGCAGTGTATGTTTTTCTTGTGCTCTCTGTTACACCGACAGCTGTGGAATTCTCCTCTGCTTTGCATTTTTTTCTTCTTGTGATAAATCCTTGCAGTGTGCACCTGTGCCTGACACATAAGCCCCGTACGATCTTTGTGCCTTGGCACAAGATGGTTTCAAGTGAAAGCGTACCTGTCCACACACTGGGTTTTTGTCAAGAAAATTTGGACTTTTCTGAGATAAGGTATCAGATTTAGCTGTTGCTGTACTTAAATTATATAAGTAGTTGCTGCCAGCATGCTTAGTTTTAAGGCTTGTTACCTAGCCAGGGAGGGGAAAAATCCTGTTTCTTTTGTGAGAGAATATTGTGCAGTCTATTCAGTGGTGTTTAAGCTCCTAAAAAAGTGAGTGAGTTGAGTTGAGTTGAGTTTATTGATCTTGTATGCCGCTCACTCCTGAAGGACTCCGGGCGGCTTACAACAAACAAGGGAAGGGGATAAATAAACAAAACAACACTTTAAAATATACAACATTCACCGTAACCGGGGGTCTTGATATTTCACAAGCCCCCCAGCCTGCAGGAGCAGCCAGGACTTGCG